AAATTATTCAATGTAAAGAAGAATAGTCAAAACTGGTCAAAATGTCACACTACTATTAGTGGGATTCATGAAACGTCGCAAAGTTGTTGCAAATGTCGCATTTGTTGCAAAATTTGCCACCTTGCGACACAGCTGATTATTTTTGTATGGAAACTTTCTTGCGACAAAATTGCTACATTGCCATATTATTTGAGCTGACAATCATTGCAAAATCAAAGTCGCGAGACACATCTTTTTTTATTGTCTTCGAATGCTTCAAGAAAAAGTATATCAGTTAAGCCTGCATCGAAATATAATTGTAAAAAATTTTCTTTATATCTAACGCCACTTTGCCGTTTTATGAATCGCACTATTATTTCGTACATAAGTATGTATGTAGGTCCGAATAGCTATATTTCAGTGCTTTTTCCCTTCGTAATTGGAATATTGTGTTTTTTTTTTTTAATTTATTGTATGTCCTTTTTTTAAAGACAAGTACAGCTTGTATTTTGTGTTATTTTACTATGATTTTACTCTAATAATTCAATGAAGTACATTAAAAATACTATTTATAAAAATACATATGTGGTTCTTAAAACGCCTATTTTTGCAGTCCATTACGCACATTTCTATGTCTGTGTACGCAGATATTAATGAGTCAGTGTATATTAAAGCTGAATTAGATAACTCTGATAATGTCCTTTTTGAATATTATATCATGATCATGAGACGGTTAAAAGGATAGTGTAGACAACTAGGAATGTGTCTCCGATATGTTGATGAGACTCATGGAGGGGAAGTAAGTTTGAGAGAAGACTTCCTTCGTTTTGTTGTGGCGAGATCGCTTCGTGGAAAAGATTTAGCTTTGATAATTCTAAATACACTAAAAGAATGTAATATCGATTGTCAATATCTTTTTGGTCAAGGTTATGATGGGGCAAAGAATATGTCAGGCCAGTTTAACGGCGTGCAAAAATACGTTCAAGAGGAGTATCCTTTTGCTTTCTATGTGCATTGCTCAGCACACGTGCTTAATTTGGCCATATCCAAAGCTAGTGTAATACCGCCAATAAGACATACTTTAGCCATCGTGGAAAAGTTGTACACATTTTTTAATACACCGAAGAGGAAACCAGTTATTTTAAGCTGCTTGGAAGCAGCAGATATAGCACCAAGCGTTAAAAGTCTTAAGAGATTAAGCGTTACTAGGTGGACATCAAAATTATAATTGCGGTATCAGACTTCATTTCTCTAATGCCTTTTGTACATGCTGCGTTGGGTGACATAGGCGAATGGAATGACGGATCATCAACTGATGCAATTATATTTCAACGAAGCTTGGATTTCGAATTTATTATAACCATTAATATAATAGGCGATATGTTCTCCTACATTCTGCCTTTGTGTAATAAACTCCAACAAATACAGATAGATTTAGCGCTTGTAGTGGATTTGGAAAATGACTTAGTGGCGCAGCTACGACGTATTCGTTCCCGCGAACATTACTTTGAAAAATTGTTCATAACTTGTGAAAAATATACAAACGACATGGATATTGAAATCAAAAAGAACCGATACAAATCTAGTCAAAATCTGCAAGCATGTAACTTAGCTGATTATTTCAAGATTTCTGTTTTTTATCCATTTATTGATCATATAATAATGGAAATAGATACTCGATTCACTCAACATAAAACGATCTTCAGAGGTTTCGCTTCGATTTTTTCAACAGACCAGAGTGAAGAAAATTACACAAATATATTTAAGCTTGCTGAGTTTTATGAACCACTTATTGAAAGCTCAAATATAGTGGCCGAAACTAATTTATGGAGAACGTTCTCAAAGCGGCAGAATCTTTCGCCAAAAACTGCACTTGATGCACTTCAGAACTGCGATAAAACGTCATTCAATAACTTATACAAGTTGCTAACAATTTGTGCCACTCTCCCCGTTTCCACTTCAACAGCAGAACGCACCTTTTCAACTCTAAAGAGGTTAAAAACTTATCTACGTATCTCTACTGGACAGGTAATTAAAATATTGATATGTATATTGTGCTTTACAATTGAGAAGTCCACTTGCAAACAGCGTTATGTGATTTTAAGTAGGCCATAAATTAAAAAAAAACGTATCCGACAACAAGTACCATCCGAACTTTTTTATTACCTGAAAATTTTGATAAACAAGAGCCTAGTAACATTAAAAAAAAATTCCAGTATCTTTTACATAGCTAGCTTTTTTAGCTTTTCGCGTTCTCTCCTTCAGGAAGATTGGTTTGCTTCTTTTTTGCGACCTCTTCCATTAGGCACCGAAACTACCACGTTTTCTTGCAGTTTTCTTAGTTCATACGAAGAGGAGACTTTTGAAAGTGTATAAATAAGTATTATAGCGACTTTTGCAAGAGTAGTTAACATTTCAGAATATAGAAACATTTTTCATTCTGCTGTTAGTGGATATGAAACCCACCAAAAACTAAAAACCGAAAAAATTTAAATAGCGCACTTGTCCCTTCTTTTTATACAATTAAGGAGCGGCTGAATGGTTTAACGACGTTAGCGGTACATAATGATGTGCCGATTACAGCACAAGAAGTTATTGAAAAAATGTGTGCTAAGCAACGAAGATTAAAAATCGCTTTATAAGTAATAAGATTTTGTAGACTTGTACATAAATAAATGTAAATATGTACGCGTAAATATAAAAATATGGAGATATATTCAATGTGTAAAAACTGAAGTGTATACTAACGAATTTTTTAAATTTAAATAAAGCATGAATTCCCCACGAAATATCCGAGTACACAAAAAATATATAACGGTAAAAATGGCACATACATACGTATATGAAAGAATGCCCACAGGCGACGCCTCTAGCCATTGTGTATCACAACTTTAAGTTATCGATGCAAATTTTTTTTCCATCCCCCCCTTCGCCAAATCCTGGCTACTCCACTGGTACACAAACATATAATTTCAAGGCTGTATTTAAGAAAAGTTGCCTAACTTCGACAATTTTTATGCGATTTCAATAAATGAGGCATCAGTTTGTTTGAAAATAAATGTACTTTTAAATAGTACTACATATTTTGAAATGGTGAAAGTTGTCGATGGTTAAAATTTAAAAAAATTATGAGAAATATGTTTTTTTACCCGATAAAAATCCCAACAAGCCAAGTCCGATAATAGATCATTATATACCATTTTGAAGGCCTATATATCCTCTTCTCAGACCATATTCGATCTTTGAAATCGAATCAAAAGTAGTAATTCAAAAACCCATAAATATACAAAATCCCATTTTCTGACATAAATCGACCTCTAAACGACCTTCAAAAAATCTACAAAAATAGGCAATTATATTTCTCATAGAAAGGAACAAAATTTGGGGGTAGGGTCTTGAAATTTCCAAAAAAAAGCATTTTCGATGGGCACCCTAATGTACATACATCTATTAATTTCATGTAAAAAGAATAAATTGTATTCAGTGCATTTCACAGTCTTATTTATAGATAATGAAAACAAAAACGCCTGGACTTTCTCTTTGAAAACCTCGCGCTATATCCCTTTTGGTTGCCATTATTTGAGCCAATTTTTCGTATTGCCCGTATAACCGCTCGCGAAAACACAGCAATCGAGAAAATTCATTTATGATGACTATTATGATTATGATTGTAAAATCAGTATATTTTATTTAATTTTTTTATAAAATTTGTTATTGAAACCCACGAAAATAACAATCGAAACGTTCTCCGTCAACAAATTTGCAACTTAGAAAAACGGAACTACGATCGAAATGTAGTATAGTATATGTATAATCGTAAATTTCGAAGATTGATCGAAAGGACACGGAACGCAGAATACCAAAGTTGCCAAACGGAGAAAATTTCGATTCGAGTCGAAATGAATACTAAAGCTAGTGGGGGTCTCGCTCAGTTATTTAAGAAAATAAACAAAAAAGAAAAAGAGTAGATTAAAAAAAAATCCGGGGAAAAATGAAATATTCCAGAAAATTTTAACGCCATATTCGCATCTATTCTGGAGAGATGTCAAATAGAAAAATTATTCTAGTTTGCATTATCTAGATACTATAAAATCTTTCATATTTTAAATGCATTTCAGAATTTATTTCAGTAAAATTTCATCCGTATCATATTGTTTCTGTACTCTCCGTGCTCCTATTGTATGCGAAGTAATAAGGAGATAATAGCTCTGATCCAGTACTCCATGAACTTACAGGATTTTACACGAAGTTGCAGGAAAAATGTTCCCGTACTCCAAAATCCTGTAAATGAGAGCGACTTTTGGAGAGTTGTGTAGAGAATGAAGTTGCAAGATTTTACCCGAACTTTTACTTCTGGTAAAATGATGAAAAGTGCCATGCAATCACTGGTTGACGATTTTACAGGAAAAATGGTTTTTTTGTTCCCGTACTTTTTGTTGTTACTCACTTTTTACTCTCACTTCAGAGAGTAATTTTGCTGTTTGACAGTTTTACAGGATTTTTCTCGAAAAGTATTGGATCAGAGCTATTATGATACAATCGTAGGTATTTAAATCTTTGTCGCATAACTGTATATAACAGTACATTTTCACTGCACTGAAATCTTGGGAAAAACTTCTATTCCTAGGAAGTGCAACAAAAGAAGACTTTCTCAGAAAAACTATATGAGCAAATTTTTTTTAAACGAGATTAACTTTCTTGTAATCTTTTCCAATGAATTGTGTTAAATACCATTCATCATTAAACATATAGTTTGGAGTATAGGACTCCCAGATAATAGTTAACTTATGACAAAAAATTGACTTATTTAGTTCATTAGAAATACCTACATAGCCAAACCTATCGATATGAGTTGGTATCGATACTTTAGATCCGATATTTTTTTAGGTATCGATACTTTCTTTCGATACTACTTCCAAGTGTAAGTATCGATACCTACATGGTATCGTTTCATCCCTAAACGCAAACAAACATGTAAATTTGATTATTCTTAAAGTAACTCTATCAAAAAATATTTACAGATAGCGATTCCCTGCCGACCGAAAAAAAACATTCACACTCTTCGTCATGGACGTCCCGGAAGATTTGCCTGTTGAAGACATTAGACATGCATTGTATAAGTTCGATTCGATAGTAGAGGTAGTGCGCCTTCATTATCAAACCCAGCCAACAATTTCAAATGACAAGGGTCAAGAAGGTAATTCATCACGTAATTATATTTTGTTTACTACATCAGAGTGTATTTTTTTATTATTTACACAACCACACAAAAAAACATTGTCAGGATCTGGGAACCAGACATTTATTCAAATGTATTTTGACGCACTGAATCTGAATCTGGCTCAGAATCGGTCTAACGGGTCTGGGTCAGCCCTAACCTCAAAAAACATATCGGATATTATGCGACAGGCACAGGTTAGGCTTACCCTAGTTCCGTTGCACATTAGGTCAAATGATTATATCTTCCGTGCGAAATTAATAGCAGCTAGTGATGAGCGATATTTCACTACCGGTGATTTTATCACTGTGATTTAAAAATCGCTTATGTGACTGGTACTACTAGGCCACAATATTAGTGATTTTCTACTCGCATGATATTTCGCTGTGAATGAAAATCACATCTGTCAATAGCTAGTCAACAGAAGTGGCGAATGGTGATTTTTCTCTTTCGTGGAAGAAATGGTGATTTAACAATATTTATTATTCATTGTGAATACTCTCGTATCTATATTGCGTTTTTTCATTACTGTTCCATGGTGGTTTTAAGCGGACATTTTCAAGTACGCAGTTTGATTTGCTTAATCGCGTTATTTGCGTTTCAGTTTTTTATTTAAAAATTTGTATCAACGAGTAAAGATTGCTGCAAATATTAATAAAAAACGAAGTGAAATATGGCAATTTTTGAGCGAATAAATTAAACTTTTCCCTCTTTTCCCTACACTCATTTTTCGGTTGAAATCGCTACGGGTAAGGAATCACCCTTACATGTACCAACACTGATTTGTCATCATTTATTAGAACTATTACGCATTTCTGTGTTATTAAAAGAACTAGCGATGGCAATAGCCATAAAAAAAAATCACTGTGATTTAAAAATCGCAATCTCTCTTTTCACTGATACTGAAAAATCGCTACTTCGCCCATCACTAATAGCAGCAAAAATATAGCATTATTAACCGACTTCCAAAAAAGGAGGAGGTTATCAGTTCGTCGGAATATTTTTTTTTTTTTTTATGTATGTTACCGCATAACTTTGGACCACGTCAACCGATTTCGATAATTCGGAAAGGTAGTGTCTCAGAGGTGGTCCCATACTAATCTGGTTAAGATCCGATCAGCGGATCATGAGATATATATATATATATTTTTTTTTTATATGAGAGTTGAAGTCGGTTTTTTTTTTGCTAAAAATTGCTTGTTTTAATGTAAAAAAGATGGCAAACGTTAAAAAAAGTGTAAAGGCAATACATAAAATGTTAAAACATGACTTAGCTTTCGTAAAAAAGACTTTTCTGCTTTTTTGTATGTTCAACTGATGAGTATATCGAGGCTTATATTCACAAAAATGAGGTACTGATATAAAAATCCACCTAAGACTTAACTGCCATCGGTGATATTAATGCTGATCTTGTATAACGCTTGACAGAAGAATTTACTATTAAACATAAGGTTCATTCCTTATCTTTTTGGACTAAAATCTGAAAAGTGTCAAAATGCCAGAGCATAAGCAAAATGCGCTCACTAAAAGAGAATAACTGGAAAAGTAAAGGAATGCAAAAAACCAAATTTTTAGTCCAAAGAATGGCAACAACAAAACTAACGTCAAATAAGAATGGAAATGTATGTACAAAACACATTCACACAAGCACAAGCTCAATAAACACTTACTATATCAATTATTTTTTGCCTCCTTCCAATTTCAATTCACTTTTTACTTTTTAGATTATTCTCACTTTTTGCGTATTCCTTAATTTCCGTTAATTTAAATTCAGTTGAGTTTGACACTTTTCAGGATTTTGTCAGAAAAAATTCTTCTGACTAACCGCCCTATTCCCACAACACTGACAAAATTCATCATATGACTATTGTCACAATTACTGCGCCTAAAAACAATATAAACATTGTTTCGCCGTTGTCACTTACTCAGTAGGTCATAACAATAAAACTGACAATTGTCATACGACAGCTTAAAATACATTTGCGGCATAGTATTGGGCGCAGTAGTAAAGGCAATAGTCAGCCGCTGAGTTTTGTCAGTGGTGTGGGAATAGGGCGGTAAATCTGACTACTTCGGACTGAAGAGAGTCACTCTCACTGAGTGTTACTCTCTCATTTTTGCTGTCATTTTCGAGTTAAGGAACGCTTTTTGGACTAAATCTGACTACTTCGGACTTTTTCTGACTATTTCTGGGAGATAAGGAACGCAACCATTGTGTAATAAGCAAAGTGAAATCAATAATTGCCATATTTATTTTTTATACGCTTATATGCAACGGTTTTGTCATTGCGTTAACCCATTTAAAACTAGCAACGTTATATTTAAATTAATTTCAAAATAAAAAAATTTTGATTTCAAATCAAAAAATAATTGTTTTAGAAATTAAAGAACAAAAAGAAAAAAATTCGTTTAAAATTCCCGATACTTGCTGTTTATGCAGAAGCACCCACAACAATGAGGTAGGTATGTTTCGTGTGCTAGCAGATGTTACGCAAGGAAGGGATTGGATGAATGCGTGTGGGGTTAAACTAACTGGATCACCGAAAGTTTGCGCTCTGCACTTCAAATCGAATGATATCATTTATGCAAGTATTAATGCAAAGATAAGACGCCTCGATCCAGATGCAGTACCATCAAAGATGTTACCTGCTATTTCATCAGATGAGAGGTAATGATCAAAGTGTGGGTATGTTCTCAAATGCCTTAGTGCAAAGGCATATCGTGAAAATAACTACAACCGCAGTACGCCAAACAGATGTGAAGTATCGCATAAAATGTATACTTTCGCCAATTTAGTAATAATATTGGTCCTGATTGGCAGTAATTAATTTGAGAAAGAATCCTTAATTTAATGTGTATATATGTATATACATATATGGGGAAATCTTTTGAGATGGGGACATTCTGCGTACTGGCATATTGTTTCCGAGACAAAGCAGCTGCACTGCCAAGTGCGGTTTCTGTGCCTTCGTCAATAATATTTATTTATGTATATGTGTAAATATCGTAAATAGTTATTCACAAAAAAAAAATCGCTTTAATTACTAACTTATTTGCTAAAATCGAGAAAATCAGGAAATTTCTAGTGCAACTCGCATAAATTCTGAAAAAAAATATTGAAAATATTGACAAACAACCTATCACAGAATTTGGTTGAAGAACGCCCTATCTCAGAATTCGGTCCCAAACCAAAGCCGAAAGAGGGTTAATGTAAACAAATATACGAATTGTTTATATTTAAATTTTCAAATAAGCGTACGTCAAATATTGCTTTCACTTTGTTTATTACATTATGCTATTAAATTGCAAAGTCATAATTAATATCAGTGATGACAGGTAAGTCCCAGAAGGGTTCTACCATCACAAAGTAGGTTTTGTGAAAATTGCACATAGAGGGTATTGAATATAAGCCCTCGATATGTGTTTAGGTAGTACTCAAAAACGTTGTCCAATTAGCTTGGTTTTGACACAAGTTATTTTCTTACTCAACCCCCTCTCTCTTATAATGAGTTACGTAATAAAATAAGTATGGTCACATGTACATAAATGGTTTCTTCTAGCGATTTATTATGCCATTATCGAAATTCCTAAATTAAAAAAAGAAAAATATTTACTACATGTCTCGCAGATATGGCTTGAGGAGAGATTCCTAAAGCAGTTAGTCTTCATAAAACACTTCATTTTCACTTGAGGTTTCAGTATTTCTAAATTCTCCACCGATATTATTTACATATATTCAGAATAAAAATCCTGCTTTATGACACATTTACCAAACATCGCTGGAAACTTCCTGAAAAGAATACGAATGTTTTTGAAACTAATTTGTGAAAAGAATGTTCAAAGCTCTATTCACTTTGAGTAAAATATTTCTACATTTCAATCCGTAACTTCTCTCAAGGATTTGCCTTTTTGCCATTGCTCATCAATGGTCTTTGCGAGTCGGCGTAAGTGTATTTGTACGCTGCTGAGGCTGCTATTTTTTTTTTGCTATCACATACTTCCATTTTCACTATTTATCACCATTAAAATGGATTATTTATCATCAAAAAATTTAGGAGATATTTTTGGAGATAGCTAAAAATTCGAAAAAATGTTAACTTTCCTATTTTAGCATTTTAGCGATAGCGAAAGTTAGAATCCGACTGATGGTCGACACATTTGGCTTTTTGATTTCGAAAAGAACTTCATTAGCAGGAAACGCTATGTTTTCAGATCTAAATATTTTAGCATCCTTTCCAAATTGTTATCCATAATTTTCATCTTCCTTTGATAAATAATTGCAAAAAATACACGTTTTTTCTTCTAAGAGTTTCATGGAACTTTCTCAAATATGGTTGACAACCGAAAAAGGCTTTTCTTTTTTCGAACATCCAATCAGCCAAACTTCAAACAACTCGCCTTTTGTATTAGCATGATAGCCCAGAAAAAACCCGTTTTTCTTGAAAACGGCTAAAAACGGCGGATTAAGTAAAATAAAATCAACTCACTACATCTTAATTTATTCATTTCTGTTTCCATTTTGTTTGCCGAAAGTTAACAAAATTGTAAAAGTTTACATAAAATCATAAATGGAAATAAATCAGAAAACGTTTGAGGTTATGCAAATAAGTCAGTTTTTTTTGCAAACAAATGATAAAAAGTCACTTTTTTAAATTGGTACATAGGTTCTTACTTATAGTTTGGTTTTCCATTTAAAATTTTTCTCTAACTATTCGAACTTAAAAAAAAAATGCACTTGAAACTTACAAAATAAACCGGTTGCGCAAAAAACGTGTCAATAACGTTTTGAAGGTGTAACTTTGGTTTATTGCTGTCTAACGGTGTTTTTTATAACGGGTGATTTTTTAAGAGCTTGATACCTTTTTTTTTAAAAAAAACGCATAAAATTTGCAAAATCTCATCGGTTCTTTATTTGAAACGTTAGATTGGTCCATGACATTTACTTTTTGAAGATAATTTCATTTAAATGTTGACCGCGG